TGGGCTCCGGCCCCCATCTCCGGCGGCATTTCCTACTCCGGATCGGCGTCCTCGGCGAACCTGCGTCGCGTCAGCCCATGGCCTCCGATGGATGGTACTTTTCCCTCACCGGCGGAGGGATCTAAATCGGGGGTGCCATCCTGCAGGGGTGCGGTTTGGCACGGCCGCAGTCACCGTTTGGCTACTGTTGACTGCAGGTCGAGGATGGGGTCCCCTTCCTGCCCTGGCTCGGCGTAATTGTGTCTCCATCAAGCAAGGCCCTTTCTTCATTGGTTGCCCTTGTGGCTTCCAATTCTGGGCAGCGCTGCTAGGCAGTCCCTCGCCGCCGTCGATTTGGTACCGGCTGTAGATGGGCTTGTAGCGGCGGTTTGTGCCGGAGCAGCACTTGCACGGCAGCTGGGTAGGCCGGCTCCGTGTGTGTGGCCCATCTCTCCCAGAGAGGCGGGTGGGGTTGGTTTTGTGGTTCCCGGAGTGGCGGCTCCGAACGTTTGGCGTGGTGGCATCCTTGCGGCGAGTGTTGTTGTGCGGTGCTGGTGTGTGACCATGGTCGTGTGGGCGACACGGCGGCTCGCTTGGGCGGCTCTATGTGTGTTGGGTGTGGCTCAGGCAGATCTGTGTGTCGCTCTCGTCACCCTATGGCTACCTCGCCTCTCCGACGAGCCTTGGCTGCCAGGAAGGTGATGGATGTAGGACTTTAGGTGGTTGCTGGCGATTATCCCGGGTGAAAACTCTGCACGACAGTGTCCTTGCCAGTGGCGACGACACTCTCGAGCGCCGCTTCCCCTCCTTGGAGGAGTCACTGTGGGTTGTCCTCCTCCTTGTGCTCTGGGTGAAAACCCTTGTTCCGGCTTGTCGGACTAGGCGGTGGTGACACTGTCATGCCGTTCCCTTTTTGGAGGCTCTGTCTCATGAGCAAAGATCTGATTGCTGGTGGCCGAGGGTGTGGTAATGGACGGCAGTTTCTTCTGCACTTCGACGGTTTTGTAGCCTCGACGATGGTGACCTCAAGGGGTGTTAGTTTGCATTGCCGTTGTGCCCAAATTCCTCCCATGTGGTCTCGGCGTTTGTGTCCATCCAGAAGCTAGGGTGAGCGTCCTCATTGTTCGACGATACGGCGCCCTTCGAGCCAGGGCGAGAGGCAGGTGGGCTCCTTTCGACGATGCAGCTGGATGACACTATCGCCGGTTGCCCAGGAGATGGTAGTGGCATTGCTTCATGTCAACCAGTACCTTGCTTCGGTTGGCTTGAGTGCGGTTGAGGGCCTCGTTGACTTAAAGCGGTGCTTCATTATCCCACCTTATGCTTGCTTGTACTCTTGTGGGTTTTGTTGTTCGTCCTCAACACCTATGTATCTTGCCGTCTTTGTTTTCTGTTGTTGTTGTGTGTTGTGGTGTTCGTATCGGTCATTGTAAGGGCTTCATTAATTTAAATCCGGGCGATGGCCTCCTTTTAAAAAAAGTTGTTTAATAGTATATGTAGGTTGCTCAACAGAACATGCACAAGTCTATAGCTCAAACAAGATTTACGGAATCAGGAGAAACCACGAGAATGATGATATCATTTATTGACCCCTGAATCTCACTTTGGCACAAAAATTACATACATCTACAGACATCAGGAACAGCCAGTTCTTAAATCGGTGAAGCCTGCTACAGAAAACATCCTCTTTTTTCCTTCCATACAATGACTATTAAGGAACATGTCACTTTTAATGAATCAAGCAGATGTTCTATAAACTTACATATGAATTCCTTTTCTTCTTTCTGTTGAAGCAGTTCCATTTACTCATCAAGTTGAGTGCTTCGCAATGAGTTTATCAACGTGGATGATAATATCGTCAATATTGGGACGAACTGCAGGATGTGGCTGCAGCATCCAGGTTACAAACTGGCGGAGAGTGTCAGGATAGGACGAACCCGTCTCAGTAGGCCACTTCACCTGTGCACTTTTAATGACTGTTACTAAGCTTTCGCCAGCAGATTCATCGAGCTCATAATCAAATGGTGACTTTCCATACCTATAATAAATAAGAACATGATCAGATGATCAGCAGCTTGCACTACAGAATCTATAAACTAAGTACTAGATACAATGACATGCCATGGCAGTACGGCAGTACGCCATGATGAGCTATTTGTCTTGATCCAGTTCCAGACAAAAAAAAACCCTAAATAATGGATTCTGCAGGGATGGTCAGATACTCAGATTTATAACTACAAGCCTTTTCACTAGCATAGAACAGGTCTACGCTGTTGCTACCATTTTTTGAAGAATTGTGTCAAATAGGCTACTTCGGGTTGTGGAAATTTTGACAAAATACAATATAAAAAGGGTTTCAAACACATGGCAGGATTTCTACGTAACTACAGCAGTATTTAACAAAGATGCTGTTTAATTACTACCTCCGTTCCAAAATAATTGAAGTTCCGGATTTGTACTAAGTCAAATTTGTTTAGTAAGTTTGACCAATTCTATAGAAAAATAGATTAGTAGAACACCAAATTAGTCTCATGAGATTCTTCATGAAATATGCTTTCATATTATGTGTATTTGGTATTTTGGTGTTGTAGATCTTAGTGCATCTTTCTATAGAGTTGGTCATGTTAGACTTAAACAAGTTTGACTTAGGACAAACCTAGAACTTCAATTATTTTGGAACGGAGGGAGTACCCCTTAAAAACTATTGGAAACAACATAAATGAAGTAAACCTTAATTTGATACGAGTAGTTTTAGGCACGGGTACTAACTATCAATCCCAAAACAATTAACATCAAACGGTGAGGCCATATGTCAGTTCATAAAGTTTCTGCATGAGAGAACTTACATCATAGCATAAAGGGTGCATCCCAAAGACCATACATCTGTCCTCTCATCAATATCGGCATGGGGCGGGCACTCCCATAATTCAGGTGCCCGGAAATGTGCAGAGCAGTGCTCTGAAGCCCATTCCTACATTAAATCAATTGCCAGTGAAAGTAAGAAGTCCAGCACTCATCATATTTACAGAAAGAAATCATAAAATAATCCATATTAGCTCCCAAATGATTTCTCATACTTGTTGCCAAACTACAGAAATGTGAACAAAAGTTCAACCATTCTATCAATTACACTAGATTGCCTTACAATCAGCACTGGCTGAACAAACTGTTAATATAAACTATATTATCCATTTCAGTTACCATCTATAAGTGTAAAGGTACCTGCAGCTGCAAAGCTTCTGCTTGTGATCTAATAGCTCTTCTTGCTGGGCGAGCACTTTCAAAGTCCATCAAGATAGCAAGATGAGGCTGTTCCTTCCTCTGAGTTATGAGGACATTGTCTGGTTTAACTCCATTGTGAGCATATGGTGGCTCAAAACTGTGCATATGCTTCAGTCCTGCACATAGCTGTAGGCAACACAAATCACATAACTAACAGGCTAATCCTCACAGAAAGTTGCTACCAGCAGCAGAAGGGGGTAAAAGAGTATAATTTACAGTTGTTACAAGCATAAGTAAATCGATTTTGCTAACATCACAGACCAACCTTAGTGATGGTACAGTCCACTTTCGCTATATACTAAATTTAGTAATATCACAAAGGAATATTGAATTAATGGAGAACATAAAAAATTATAAGGAAGATCAAACAAATACAATTCATGATCAAGAACAAGATAAAAAAAATTGGGTCTCAATTTTGATATAAATAAAAACATTTGGTCTAAACTCTAAAGTGACAGAAAAAAAAGGGAAATAAGAGTAGAAGATTATGAGTCATTACGGTCATGCCTAATTGTTCCAACATGGTATGTCGAACTACCATTGCACCCCTACTGTAGTTGTCCAATAAGGATACAATATCGTATTGTACACAAGACAGCAGTAAGTATAAGTATTTACCTGGCGAAATATCTGGAGAATGGTGATTGTTGAAAGGTACTCCTTCTTTTCTTGCATGGATTTAGTTACATCCTGCAAGGTTCCATCTAAGTGAACTGGGAACAACAAGTAAGCCTCATGGTTCTGCGACCCATCTTGCACACCCTACATACATATAAGTGCAGATCTATTGGTACCAGCACAGATAGTTAAATTATTGTATTGTGATACCAATTAAAGCTGCTAAATCTCCATCAGCAGATAGTCAACCATATCTGTTTTTTTTTTGTTACCCAACATAAGCTACCAAATATTTTTTTAAAGTAAATATCACTGAGCTGGAAGATGAAAGATATAATACTACTATCATGATTTGGATGCGGGCATCATATCTATTTGTATCCAACTTACCTTGACTGCAATAATGGCATTTTCAAGAAGTGGAAGTAAATTTGGATGGCTGAATTGAGAGGACACTCGGATCTCCTGCCGAACTAGCTCCAAGTGTTGGTCGCTCTGAATAAGAACTTTCTTCAAAGCATATGTCCCATCAGCTGAAAAGAAAATCGAGGAAAATGAGATGATAAAAAGAAACAAGTGCAACAAACAATAACTGGAAAGCCAAACACAAAACAACAGCCAGAGCATGATGATCCTTAAAAGATGAAGAGTCAAAAGTTATCAATAGATTAGTACTCATCAAGTAATCATGTCACTGAAATGCCGTGATATTCGTCTTAGGCCCTTTAGTAGAATATATACTAAGTCTGTTTTCTACGGATATCGTAAATCTTAGAAAGCAGTTTGATAGATTCGCTTTGAAGGGCGATATTTGGTTGACCATATGCAACTCACAGGATGCTCAAGAGGTTGACAATATTGGACCTAAGCCAAATTTAATGGAGTGGTTAGTTTAGCATGCTGCAGCAATTAGTCTTAAAATGCACTTTCCAATATGGTTCTCCAAAATTCGACAAGGCATAAATTATGCCAATAGAATAGACACGGATCAACAATTGAAAATGATTGTAACCACAGAAACTTAAGCTAGGACACGGATATGACTGTCTCTCCGAATCAAGATCATTTGGTAGATCTGTCACCGCATAGTTTGGTCGATTTGGAATTTTGGATGAGGACAAAATGTGTATAGACGAGCTCACAATGTGGGAAGCAATCCAGTAAAGTAGGAGCGAAAAACTACGCAAGTGCTGACATAATTGAGGAGACACCCATAACCTGAAGCAGGATTTTAAAGAAATGAGAAAGTTGCCGTGCCGATCTCCGTTGGTGAGGGCACATCTGGATTGACCGAGTCAATGAAGAAAGAGAGGCATTTCGCCGCACGCACGCCGGATTCAAACCAGTGCATGCGTGATCTAACCGACAACACCCTCAGATCTGAGTCAGGGGGTGAAGAGAGCTAGACAAGGTGCGGACCTGAGATGTGTGACGGGTCGACGCCCTTCTTCTTGGCGAGCCCTGCGGCGCCGGGTCCCGCTCCGGCGGTGCCGTCGGAGACCGCGGCGGCGGCGACGACCTCCTTGACGAGGAAGACGGAGGAGCCTGCGGGGCCGGCGTCGCCGAGCCTGCGGAGGACGCGGAAGCGGTAGTCGTTGACCCAGATGTCGCCGCCGCCGCCGCCGACGGTGTCGTACAGCGCGTTGAGCCCGGAGAAGGAGCACCCCATGGCGGACGCGACGTCTCCCCCTCGAGCGAGCGAGCGAGCGCTTCCGGTCCGGGGCAGGAGGAGGACCGGCTTATTACGGTCGCACACGCGGCGCCCGCGCGTGTTTTGAGTGACGGGGAAATGTCTCGTCCGGGGCGGTGGCACGTCGTAGATCTGGGCTGGGCTGGTGGTGTTGGCGCTTTCGCAAGCAGATCTCGCCTAAAAAGTAGGCCGCTGCCACTATTTTAACCCGTTGAGGTCAGCGGGTCGCGCCACCCTGCGGCAGATCCCGGATACAGAGCTGTAAATTTGGAAGGTTCCGAACGTAGAAGAAGAGCCAAGAGACAAACAACACCGAAGATCCAACAGATTATCATTTCAGATTTGCTGAAGTTTCATGTCGCTGAAAATTTCATAGATTGCGGTTGATTGTTTAATCGTCGAATTTACTCATGATTCATGCTCGCCGAGTCGAGGAAATAATAAATGTGGGGTTTGGGCAGATCCAGCGATGCCAAATACGCGGAGAGGAGCCGATGACAACAAAAAGGAGGCAAAAAAATAATGTTCATGATTAGAGGTTACAACGTCTCTTCCGCGGAGGCTATATGGTTTCAGTGTAGAAATTAGGGTAAGGGTTGATGATACAACCAGATTAATGACTAGAGTATCCAAGTGCAATGACCACTCTTCCATTGAAGTTTCACAAGTAAAGAAGCGGAAGAAAAAAGAATACCTGGGCAAGACCATTATTTATGCTCGAGCAGTAATTGAGAAAGAAATGTGTGTGTGATTTAGGTGCAAATTTGAATGTGCCAAGAATGAAGTATCTATTCGGCCATATCGATTTAGTGGCTTTGCATTCATCAACTACTATACATGTCATCCCAATCATGATCATATTATTCCTTTCAACACCGACGCTTTGTGTTAAGCATGTAGGCGGTGTTGAAATAAGGTGTGTTGTCTTCCTCGTCAAGGTATTCATCAACTTTGAGTTTCTTGAACTGCCATTTTCACTCCTTATTTATCAATTCCTGGCTTGAATTCATTTGCACCCTCATGACGAATCTCTTGAATCAATCTAGGGGTTTGTCTTGAAAATATCACAGTTAGGGGGTGGGGGTCAATTGATGAACAAATGCAATCCAAGAGTGCTCACGTTAATGCTTTAGTGCGTTTTCACTCAAGTGAGAACTATGAGCTTAAACGATGAGATTGACTTGTAGGGTCCAACATCACTCTTTGTCACACAATCCTAGGTCAAATAGCTCGTATATGATGACAAGATCACCACATGATTGTTGTTGGTTCTTTTCCCTTATGGCTCCTAGTAGTTATAGTGCATATCGTATCTATGTTCGGTTTAGATTCATGTTGAATGCATGATTTCATTCAAGTTCATCCAACTTGTTACTCTGATTGCTTTGATGTTTGCCATTTTTGTGTCGGTGAGTGAGGGAGTCCTGGATTAGGAGGTCTCTGGACAGCCGGACTATATCCTTTGGCCGGACTGTTAGACTATGAAGATACAAGATTGAAGACTTCGTCCCGTGTCCGGATGGGACTCTCCTTGGCGTGGAAGGCAAGCTAGACAATACGGATATGAAGATCTCCTCCCTTGTAACCGACTCTGTGTAACCCTAGCCCCCTCCGGTATCTATATAAACCGGAGGTTTTAGTCCGTAGGACAACATAAAATCATACCATAGGCTAGCTTCTAGGGTTTAGCCTCTACGATCTCGTGGTAGATCAACTCTTGTAATACTCATATCATCAAGAACAATCAAGCAGGACGTAGGGTATTACCTCCTTCAAGAGGGACCGAACATGGGTAAACATCGTGTCCCCTGCCTACTGTTACCATCCGCCTTAGACGCACAGTTCGGGACCCCCTACCCGAGATCCGCCAGTTTTGACACCGACATTGGTGCTTTCATTAAGAGTTCCACTGTGCCGTCACCGTAAGGCTCGATGGCTCCTTCGATCATCGGTAATGATGCAGTCCAGGGTAAGGTTTTCCTCCCCGGACAGATCTTTGTATTCGGCGGCTTCGCACCGCGGGCCAATTCGCTTGGCCATCTGGAGCAGATCGAGAGCTACGCCCCTGGCCATCAGGTCAGATTCGGAAACTTAAACTACACTGCCGACATCCGCGGAGACTTCATCTTCGACGGATTCGAGCCCGTGTCAGGTGCGCCGCACAGTCACGACGAGCACGACGTAACTCTGCCGTCGGACAGTGTTCGGGAGATCGCATCTGCAACTACTCCGGCCTTCAATCCGGAGCAAATTGCGCCATCCAAGGACGGAGGGATAGACCCCGCCATGGAGGCTGCAGTCTCAGTGGCGATGGAGCCGGATACTGACTTCACCCCTTACGAGAGCCGTGTCGCCGAACCACTGGATTCGTCTCCGGCCACGGACTCCGAGCCGCCTGCATCCGTGCCTATCGAATCCGACTGGGCGCCGATCATGGAGTTCACCTCCGCGGATATCTTTCAGCACTCGCCTTTCGGCGATGTGCTAAATTCATTAAGGTCTCTTTCCTTGTCAGGAGAACTTTAGCCGAACTATGTTCGGCTAGAATGGGATGCGGACGACGAAGAAATTCGCTGCCCACCCACCACCCACTTAGTAGCCACTATCGACGACTTAACCGACACGCTCAACTTCGACTCCGAAGACATCGACGGCATGGACAAAGATGTAGGAGACGAACAGGAACCAGCGCCCACAGGGCGCCGGACAACCACTTCATCACATGACATATACATGGTGGATACACCCAAAGAAGGCAATGGCGAAGATACAGCAAAGGATGGCCCCTCCAAGAAGCAACCCAAGCGCCGACGTCAGCGGCGCCGCACTAAGTCCCGCCATAGCAAAAATAGCGATAACTGCGCAAGAGAAAATAACACTCCGGTCGACTCCAGAGGAAACGCCAACCACATTGCCCCGGCGACAGAGCACAATGAAGCTGCAAGCGGTGAACATAGTATGGATCCGACGTCCGAACACGGCGACACCAAGGATAAACCTCATCAAACCCCCTCCGGGGAGGAAAACAGTCCAGACGAAGATGCACACATCATCCCGGAAACGCACTTGGAGCAAGAGAACCTCCGCAGAAGGCTTATTGCCACAGTGAGGAGTTTGAAGAAGCAGAAGCAAAGGCTTAAGGCTGCACAAAATACACTCAACAACAAGTGGAACAAAGTGCTCGACAACGAAGCAAAGTATGGTGGAAGTTACCGCACAAAGAGCTATCCAAAGCGCAAGCTATTACCTGAATTCGACGACGAGGCCTTAGAGCCCACACAGCCAAAAAATGAAACGTCCAACCGGTTAAATCAACCACCCTGTGACCGCGATATAGCGGCTAACAAGGTCACAGATAAGTCAACACACGATCTATGTGAGGACTTGCGCCAAAAATCTGGTACGACCAGATCCATTTATGGATCTCGAAAGCGCGCTCCGGCACAAAATCAAAACCAAATACTACAACCGTCCGAACGCCATGGTACATCCAAGTACAGGGGTGCCGCACACCCCCTATGTTTCATCGATGAGGTGATAGACCACGAATTCTCAGAAGGATTCAAACTAGTGAACATAGAGGCGTACGACGGGACCACAGACCCTGGCGTCTGGATTGAGGACTTTATCCTCCATATCCATATGGCTCGCGAAGACGATCTCCATGCCGTTAAATACTTGCCCCTCAAGCTTAAAGGACCAGCTCGGCACTGGCTGAAAAGCCTCCCCAAAAACTCAATTGGAAGTTGGGAGGAGGTCGAGGATGCTTTTCGGGCTAATTTTCAAGGGACCAACGTCCGACCTCCGGATGCAGACGATTTAAGTCATATAATTCAACAGTCCGGAGAGTCCGCCCGAAAGCTTTGGAACAGGTTTCTCACCAAGAAGAACAAAATCGTCGACTGTCCGGACGCCGAAGCCTTAGCAGCTTTCAAACACAGCGTCCGAGATGAATGGCTCGCCATGTTGGAAATATGCCCTAGAGGCAATAATAAAATGATTATTATATTTCCTTGTTCATGATAATTGTCTATTATTCATGCTATAATTGTATTATCCGGAAATCGTAATACATGTGTGAATACATAGACCACAACACGTCCCTAGTGAGCCTCTAGTTGACTAGCTCGTTGATCAAAGGATAGTCATGGTTTCCTGACTATGGACATTAGATGTCATTGATAACGGGATCACATCATTAGGAGAATGATGTGATGGACAAGACCCAATCCTAAGCTTAGCTCAAAGATCATGTAGTTCGTTTGCTGTAGCTTTTCTGAATGTCAAGTATCATTTCCTTAGACCATGAGCTTGTGCAACTCCCGGATACCGTAGGAGTACCTTGGGTGTGCCAAACGTCACAACGTAACTGGGTGACTATACAGGTACATTACAGGTATCTCCGAAAGTGTCTGTTGGGCTGGCACGAATCGAGGCTGGGATTTGTCACTCCGTATGACGGAGAGGTATCTCTGGGCCCACTCGGTAATGCATCATCATAACAAGCTCAATGTGATCAAGTGGTTGATCGCGGGATCATGCATTACGGTATGAGTAAAGTGAGTTGCCAGTAATGAGACTGAACAAGGTATTGGGATACCGACGATCGAGTCTCAGACAAGTAACGTACCGATTGACGAAGGGAATTGTATACGGGATTGATTAAGTCCTCGACATCATGGTTCATCTGATGAGATCATCGAGGAGCATGTGGGAGCCAACATGGGTATCCAGATCCCGCCGTTGGTTATTGACCGGAGAGGCGTCTCGGTCATGTCTGCATGTCTCCCGAACCCGTAGGGTCTACACACTTAAGGTTTAAGGTTCGATGACGCTAGGGTTGTAGAGATATTAGTATACAGTAATCCGAAAGTTGTTTAGAGTCCCGGATGAGATCCTGGACATCACGAGGAGTTCCGGAATGGTCCGGAGGTAAAGATTTATATATAGGAAGTCCAGTTTCGGCCAGCGGGAAGGTT